GAAGTTGAGAATCTTCACTCTGATCTATACCTATTATCCTTTGGTTTGGTCTTCTCATTGTGTCCTGGATTTCCTGGATGTTTTGGGTTAGGAGCTTTTTGCATTTTGCATTTTCTTTGACTATTGTGTCAATGTTTTCCATTGGTATCTTCTGTACCTGAGATTCTCTCTTCTATCTCTTGTATTCTGTTGGTGATGCTTGCGTCTACGACTCCTGATCTCTTTCCAACGTTTTCTATCTCCAGGGTAGTCTCCCTTTGTGATTTCTTTATTGTTTCTACTTCCATTTTTGATCCTGGATGGTTTTGTTTAATTCCTTCACCTGTTTGGTTGTATTTTCTTTTTCTTTTCCTTTTTGCTTTCTTTCTACTTTCTCTTTTGCTAATGGCTTCTCTGGAAGTTGATAGGAAAAGGAAAACACCAGAAGTTAACATTATCTTTATTTATTTATTTATTTATTTATTTATTTATTATTGGATGTTTTATTTACATTTCATATGTTGTCCCCTTACCCCATCCCTCACCCACCCAGGAACCCCCATCCCCTCACCTCTCCTCCTTCTTCTCTGTGGATGTAACACCTACCTACCCCCCCCACTCCCACCTCCCCACCCTCAAATTCCCACCCCCTGGGGCGTCCAGCCTTCTTGAGATCAAGAATCTCTTCTTCCACCTATGCCCAGCAGGGTCCTCCACTCTTACATATACAGCTGAAGCCATGGATCCCTCCCTAAGTGCTCCCAGGCTGGTGGTTTAGACCCTGGGAGCTGTGGTTGTATTTTCTTGCAGTTCTTTAAGGGATTTTTGTGTTTCCTCTGTAAGGGCTTCTACTAGTTTGTCTTTGTTCTCCTGTACTTCTTTAAGGGAGTTATTTGTGTCTTTCTTAAAGTCCTCTATCATCATCATGAGAAGTTATTTTAATTCTGAATCCTGCTTTTCTGGTGCGATGCGGTGTCCAGGACTTGCTATGGTGGGAGAACTGGGTTCTGATGATGCCAAGTAACTTTTGTTTCTGTTGCTTATGTTCTTGTGTTTGCCTTTCGCCATCTGGTTAACTAGTTCTACCTGCATTCACTGTCTCTGACTGGAGACTGTCTTTCCAGTTTGTGTCAGAACTCCTCAGAGTCCAGATGTCTCTGTGATCCTGTTGTCCTGAGCTCCTGGGTGGAAGAACTCCTGGGACTCAGGCTGCTTCTGGAATCCTGAAATCCTGCTGCTCTGAGTGCAGTGGTTCCTCTTGGATGGCTCAGGATATGATGTCTTGACGGGAGCAGACCAGTTAGGTTTTCGCTGCTCTGTGTGGAGTGGCTCCTCTAGAATGTCTCAGCACACTGCATTTCAGAGGAGCCGACCAGCTAGGTGTCTGCCTCAGCAAAAGGGACCAAGTGAGGGGTGGAAGGGGAGTGGTATTCCGGAGGGGCAGGGTTTGGGTGGCTGATGGGTCCTGAGTGCCCCAGGCACTGGGTTAGTATACCACTTTTAATGCATGTCTTTATGCTAGCTTTTTCCATTGTGTTTACTACTATATGGCATTATAGTTGTCTAAACATACATATTCATAGTCAATAAACTTGCCCCATCCCTATTTACATATTTGGACTGAGAATCCTCTTAAGAGATTTTTTTTTTTTAAGGAAGATACTAAATGAATAAATATCCAGGGGAATAAGTATCCAGGAATTCTTAGCATATTGGACACTTAGGAATTGTTCACTGAAGAGGGTAAGAGTGTGCAGTATGCCAGGTTTTATACCCTTTAGAAGCCAAAGGCCAAACCTTGTACCACATTCAAAGAAAAATTTTCAAATGTTAGTTGCAAATGGATTTGGTATTGTCTGTATCTCTGGTCTTTAATTTTTTCTTTTAGATTTTACTACGTTCTCAAGTATTTTGGAGAAGAAAGTAAACTTTCTCACCACTTCAGGCCTCCTTTTTTTTTTTTTTTTTTGCCTTCAAACATGATTTATGATTTGGGTAGGCATAAAATTCTAGGTTGGACATTATTATGTTACTCAGTAATATTACAGGCTATAAATGTGCAGGCTAGCATCTAGTGTAGTTGATAAGAATGATGTCAGTCTAATCAGTTTTTAAGTTGATTTTTGTCAATTAACTTATTTGCATTAAAATTTTTATGGTGATCTTAGATGGTTTATTGATATAGTTGACTGAACTTATGCAGATGATATTGGGACTTTCAGGGATCATAGGTAACTGTAGTTAGTTAAAATGTACACTTTGTTAAGTTTAAATGTATACATATTGGTGAAGTTATCAAATCAGCTTATCAACCGCCTGCTAAGAGCAATTCACCCTTTCATTTCTCATTACCATAATTAACCCTAGCCAATCTCTTGGTAAATTTATTTATATTTTTAGGCTGATCCTGGTGATAGTGGCTTATCAGTTAACTGGAGTGTTATTTATATTTTCTATAATTTTAATAAATAGACTCATCTATCCCTTTCCTGCTATGCCCGGGATCAAGCTCAAAGCCCTGTGCTTGCTGTTCAAGTATTCTCCTGCTGAGCTATGCACCTCTGACCCTGCATTATTTTGATGTTTAACTTCTTTACTTAGAATTCCTAAGTTTAGACTTACTTAGAATAATTATTTTGTGGTTCATTATTGTTGAAGATGTCAGTAGTTATTTTTTATTGCTGAGTGTTCATTGTATAGGTATACTGTTATATGACTATTCATCTGCTGATGGACATTGTTTCTTACTGGAGACTAAGAAGTTATACTGTTTTTTATTCTTTTTGATAGATACCTAGGGTTAGAATAAATAAATTATATAGTAGAGTTCTATTTTTGTTTGTTGCTTCTTAATTTTTTAAAAAACCTGTGGTTTTTTGGTTTTTCAAGACAGAGTTTCTGTGTAGTTTTGGCTGTTCTGGAACTCACTCTGCAGACCAGGTTGACTTCAGAGATCTGCCTGCCTCTCTGCCTGCTTCTGCCCCTCTGCCCCTCTGCCTGCCTCTGCCCCTCTGCCCCTCTGCCCCTCTGCCCCTCTGCCCCTCTGCCCCTCTGCCCCTCTGCCCCTCTGCCCCTCTGCCCCTCTGCCCCTCTACCTCTGCCTCCTGAGTGCTCGGATTAATCTTATGCCACCACTGCCCCTGCCCTAGATAAGGCCTTGCTTGATAGGTAGCTCTGGTTGACCTAGATCTTGCTCTGTGGCCTATAGTAATATTTCCTTCCTTGGAGTTTAGAGGCATTTTATCCCCCTAGAGCTGGAGTTAGTTACAAGTCATTGAAAGAGGATCAGCGTGGGTGCTGGAAACCCTGGTCTTTTAGATGAGCAGCCAGTATTCTTAATGTTGATCCTTCTTCTAGCCATAATATTTTTTTTTAACATGGATCCAAATTTTCTCAACTGTTATTTTCCCTTTCTCTAAAGAGCTTCTAAAACATTTTTTGCAAGGCTGTTTTCCTAGAAACAAGTACTTTCAATTTTTGTATATTGGAGGCCATCTTTATTTAGTCTAATTTTGAAAGGGGTGGGTACAGAAGTCTCTGTGAATGTTTTGTTGTCTCTCAAAACTTTAATTTCATTCTACACTTCTTATTTGCATTCCTGAGAAGTCAGATGACGTTATCTTATCCTCTATGGATAAGGTATTTCTTCTTACTTCTTTCAGATTGTTTTCTTTATCTTTGATTTTCTTTAGCTTGAAATATACTCATTTATTTGTTATGTAAGAAGCACAGTTCTCACCTCAAAACCCCAAGAGAGTTTATTCTGGAGCCAGATATGAGTGATGGTGGCCCAGGAACACAGGTTTAGGCATCCCGAAGTTCCATGGTCTATGCAGTAACTGTTTCCTGAAATTCTTATAGTAACAGAACAAAGTCAATTGTAAGTCAGAAGACACTTGAAATATATGTCAGTGGTCAGGTAGATAGGTAAAGTGGGGGGAACCCAGTCTCACGCTGTCTCTAAGTTTAAATGTTACCTGATAATTGTTAGCTTTTGGGTTGGTGGAAGCTAAGCTAATACAGTCTAAAAGGTTTTACCTGATAGTCACAAGGATGTTAGGTCAGACAAATGTGGGCAAAGAATAGCTACAAATGGTGCTAAAGATAGCCCAAAGTAAATTGTAATCAGGTGTGGGACTTGTAGCACTCACTCCAGACTCTGCATATCACTAAGAGTCTGCTCAGTCAATCAGCCTTTGTGGCCTTTTCCAGGACTTTCTTCGCATACTTGTTGCTCTTTGGTTATTTGCTCTTCTCGGCTTCCTCTGTGCACTCTGAATCTGTACTTTGCTGATATTACTTTAAAGGCAATTCTGTCATTATTTCAAATATTTCTGCCCTTTCTTACTTTAGTCTTTGTGGTGTTTTCCATTAAACATGGATTATATACCTTTTGTGTTTATATCACAGTCCTTGGATATTCCAGTGGCTTCCCCCTCCCATACCTCAGACTTTGTTCCCTTTGTGGTTTTAAAGGTATATCCTAAAGTCATTTCTTCAACTATATCCAATATGTTACTAAGACTATCAAAGCCATTCTTCACTTGTGTTAATTTTTTTTTTTAATCTTTAGCGTTACTCTGCTGTTCTTTTTTAGAATCACCCTGTCTGCTTTAGATCACCTATTCTTATATGTTGTCTACTTTATCATTGCTCTTAGCATATTAATTAAAATTTTCTTGACTAGGCATTGTTTCCTGCAGAGGTGTCTGTTCCTCTCAAGTCAGGACCATCTGGTATCTTTGGTCATGGTGGTAGTAGTTTGTCTGAAGGACCCAAGAACAATTGTTGATTTTTGTAGTAGATTCTTGAGCCTTTTAGGATATAACAGTGATTTCCAGGCCTTTTGTATGTGAATCAAGAACTGAAGTCTGGTTTCAACCTATAAACTTTCCTTTATAGATAGTAGTTTTATTAGTGTTATAAATTTTGTAACACAGGTAAGTGAAAGATGGCTTACTTCTTTTTATGTCCAATTTGTTTATGCTTCTTTTTGTTTTTTATTTTTTATTTTTTTTTAGGTTAATACAATCTGCTGGAATGACACTGGAGAATATATTTTATCTGGCTCTGATGACACTAAACTTGTAATTAGTAATCCGTATAGCAGAAAGGTAAAGTGGTTAAATATGTATAATTTAATGTTAAAGAAGCTAGGAAAAAGGGAATTGTAATCATGGGATTGGCATTTATATTAGACTATCATCTTCATTAAACTTAATTGTGTAATTTAGACATTGTTACATGTAGGTACTATAGTTTCCTTTGGGATATGTAAGGGTTTTTTTTGTGTGTGTGTGTGGTTGGTTGGAGGTTTTTGAGACACAATTTCACTATGTAGCTCTGGCTGTCCTGGAACTCACTATGTAGATCAGGCGGTCCTCAGACTCACAGAGATACCTGCCTCTCCCTCCAGAGTGCTGGAATTAAAGGTGTGCAAAACTACGCCCTGTTGGAATATTTAACATTTAAGTTTTCAGTGTTCTTTAGACTCTAGAAAAGTTAAATGCTCTTCACTTTATCCAAGTGGACAATAGGCAAATGATAGCTCAATAACATTATTTGGACAAAAAAAGACATTGTGGATTTTTTTCTAAAACATAAAGGTGTTTGAATGAATTCTACTTACTGCTATTTATTTTTAGCATATTGGAAATAACTTTTTGCTGGCACAGACCTGCAATTCTGTCATTCAAGAAGTAGAGCAGAAGGACCTTTTAAGTTCAAGACTAGTCTGAGTTATAGTATCATGACTATGCCCTAAACTAGCAATAATTCTGCTCCCCATTGGCTCATATAATAATATTTAAATTTTTACTATTTGTGAAGCAAAGCACTCCCAAAATTATGACTGTTTTTTGATAGTTAAGAGTACTTCAAGGAGTAAATATTCACAACAGAATTAATAGCATACATTATTTAAATTGTATTACTAGTTTTCTAAATGAATTGTAGTTTGAATCTCAATAAAGCCTTGTATATTATAATATTCTATATGTAACACCTTAGGGATCTTTCAAGTATTTTAATTTTAAATATTTAGAATAAATATTAGAATATAAAGGAATTTTATAATTAAAATTTTGTAGACGATAATGAAGAAAGTACTCTTTTGTTAAGAATGTATTACTGCTTATAATTATATTAAACATGAATATTTCCCACTGAATTACATTTTTTTTTTTATATTTTAGGTTTTAACAACCATCCGTTCAGGGCATCGAGCAAATATATTTAGTGCAAAGTTCTTGCCATGCACAGATGATAAGCAGATTGTGTCTTGCTCTGGAGATGGAGTCATATTTTATACTAATATCGAGCAAGATGCAGAAACCAACAGACAGTGCCAATTTACGTGCCATTATGGAACTACTTACGAGGTACAGGGTTGTGATTATACATGTAAATGCATGCTTCTGTGTGAGTGTAGAGATGTATCTATGCATTTGCTTACACATGCACCTACGTTTTTAGGTATAGACATCATTGGCAGACTGTACGTCGCCTAAGCATTTCTGAAAGTTTATCATGATAGCTTTGTGGATAAAGTTATAAAAGTAAGATATTAGCATTGTAACATAAATTTACAATTAAACAACCACATCTTAATCATTTACGAGCCCTTCCACCCTTTTGTAGTTATTTATTTTTAAATTAATTTTACATTAGCATATAAAGGTAATGGGTTTTATTGTGGCAGGTGCTAGCCTTTAAATATGCTATTTTTAGTCTGTTGGATGGTTTTTGTAGTAGATTTTGTTCTCTGAAATACACTGCCTTACAGAGATTTCATTTCTATCATCCTTACTGTGTAAGCTTATTTTGTGTTGCAGTAACACAATAAATTAAAAAGACATTTTTTTGAGACATGATATCACTTTGTAGCCCTTACTGGCCTGAAACTTGCTTTGTAGACTAGCCTGGCCCTGAAGTCACAGAAATCCACCTGCCTCTGCCTCCCAAGTGCTGGGATTAAAGGTGTGTACCGCCACCTCTGGCCTCCCCTAACCCTGTCCCCATCCCTGTCCTGTCCACTCCCTTTACCCAGCTATGTTAATTGGATTTTTGAGTCAGAGTTTCATGTAGCTCTCTGATTTTAAGCTTTCTGTGTAGCCACAGCTGGCCCTGAATTCCTGGTCCTCCTGCCTCTTTCTCTTGAGTACTGGGATTATAGGCATGAGTTCTTCTCCTACACCTTACTCTGCAGCCCCAACTGACTAGAGCTCATTATGTATGCCAGGCTGACCTGGAACTCAAGATATGCCTCCCTTTACCTCCCTAGTGTTGAGATTAAAGGTATGTGCCACCATGCCTGGATAGCTTGAACCTTTTTAAATACCATAATACACTGATTCTAAGGAGTGTGTTTGGGGCTGGAGAAATGACTCAGTGCTTAAGAGCCCTGGTTGCTCTTCCAGAGGACCCAGGTTCAACTGCCAGTACCCAAGTGGCAGCTCTCAGCTATCTGCAACTCCAGCTCCAGGGAATCTGACATTCCCATACAAACATATATTCAGCCAAACACAAGTACACATAAAACCAAACAAGAGTGTGTTTTTCCTTCTTCTCTAATTTTGTTATTGTTTCTGTTTGTTTAGTGATTTCCTGGGACTGATTTTGTATTGATCTTTGTGTGTAGTCACTAAATCTCTAAGTCAATAGCCAGATTGGACACATTTCCTAATTTTCTTTCAACTCCTAGTCTGTGTCAAAGGGCATCCCTTATAAATGTTTTAGTGATTCATATTGTAATTGCCTAAGTGAAACTTGTTTTTCTAAACTAATGAATTATTTAGATAATGGAATTAAATAAGTTGTGTGAATAATACTTTAGGAAAGATGTGCTCCTAAGAATTTGGTTTGTGGGCTGGAGAGATGGCTTAAACATTAAGAGCATGGGCCACTTTTCCAGAGGTTCTCAATCCCAGCAACCACATGGTAGCTCTCAACTATCTTTAATGAGATCTGGTGCCTTTTTTAGCCTGCAGGCATACATGCAGGCAGAACACTGTATACATAATAATAAATAAATAAATCTTTTTAAAAAAGAATTTGCTTTGTAGACAGTAGTATACAAAGTGAAAAATGGCCTTTTTATTTAATGAAGTCATTAGACCTGAGTCAATAAGTTGCAAATACATTTACTGATAAAATAACTTCATAAGTAAGTAATTCAACACTGCTGACTCACTGAGGGGATACAGTAATCTCACTTCTCACAAATGTGAAATGAGTCAAAAACCACAACTTCCATGCACTATGTATTACACTCATTTGTATTGTTTTTTATAATTCCCTTTCTATGGTGTATAAGTCTTACTATTTTGTGTTGATTGTAAGCTTGCTCAATAATAGCAAAGAAATATCAATACTTAAGTCTTAGAGAAATAGGCACAGTATATCTATACATATGGCTTTAAACAACACAAATTTATTGTCTGATAATTCTGAAAGTCAGGAGTCTAACATGGGTCTTACTGGGCTCAAATCCCAGTGTTAATAGGTCTGCAAGTCTCCTGTCTTTAGCTTTGCCTCCTCTGTAACCCTTAGACATTTTTTGGATCAGGGTTCCTTACTTCATCTTTTAAGTCAACAGTCTTTTTTCTTTTTCTGTTTGACTTTTTCCATTATCATGTAGTCTTTTCTGAAAGATGCAGTCTTGCCTCCCTCTTTGATTCTTAAAGACTCCTATAATTATTTTAGGTCCATATGGATAAATCAGCATAATCTTTCCACTTCATTATCTTTAATTTAAACATATTTACAAAGTTTGGAAATTTTTACATGAAGTTATATTAATATGATTTCAAAGTAACATCATTTTACAAGGCTGTTATATCTCTTTGTATTCTGTTTGAAATCATGGTTTGGGTAAGCCGTAGATAATTACTTATACAGATAATTTTTATGGCGATATGAACTAATAGCAATGTATTTCAGAGCCACTTGTTTAATTGTGCAGTGGTGTTTCTTGTACTTTTGTTTCATCTTCAGATTATGACTGTACCAAACGACCCTTACACCTTTCTATCCTGTGGTGAAGATGGAACTGTTAGGTGGTTTGACACACGCATCAAAACCAGTTGCACAAAAGAAGATTGCAAAGATGTAAGAATCCAAGTTTTATACAAATGATGTGGAAAAAATTAGTTGTGATTCAGTTAGATATCTTTGGTGATAATTCTGTTGTGCTAAAATTTCAATCACAAAATTTTTAACTTAAATGTTAATGAGGTAGAGAAACTCCTGTTTCAGTTGTGCATTTAAATATATTTATAGGCAGTAGATAGATGGCTCAATTTGTAAAGTACTTGTGCAAAGTGTAAGGCCCTGAGTTTTAAACTCTAGCGTCCATATAAAGCTGGGCATTGCAGTGTGCGTCTGTAATCCTATAGGTAGATCACTGGAGCTCTTCAGTCAGCCACCCTAACTGAAATGATGAGCTTCAGATTTAGTGAGAGACTCTGTCTCCAGTAATAAAGTATAGAGCCATTGAGAAAGATCTCTAGCATCAACCTCTGGCCTCCCCATCCACACTCAGTCATGTGCGTGCATGTGCCTGTGCAGGCGCACACACTCACACATACACACACACACTCAAACACACATGCAGACATGTACACACACATATACATAGGCAAAAGTAAATGTGACAATTTGTCCAGTATTATAAAAACCTGGAGAATTTATCAGTACCTCTCACTCACTAAGTAGACAGTTTGACTTACCAAAACAGCAGTGGTGAAAGTGAGTGAAAATTTAGTATCTTCTCCTCCATCTTTTAGTTTTTTTATTTTTGGATTGTTTTCAAAACAGGGTTTTTCTATGTGTCTTTGTCTGTTCTGGAACTTACTCTGTAGACTAGGCTGTCCTCAAACTCAGAGATCTCCCTGTCTCTGCCTTGGAAGTGCTGAGGTTAAAGGCATGAGCCACCACCGCTTGGCTCCTTCCATCTTTTAAAAGATTTTATTTTGCTTTGTTTTAAAAGAAATAGCGTTCTATCAGTGTGATACTAGTCAAATTTAGTCTGTCTCAAAAATCTGTTTACTTACTTTTTTAATGAATTAATAATATTTAAAATGTTTTATAAAATTCCTGAAAAAGTCCTTTGGCCCTAAACAGCTTCATTCAATAGTTCTCTGTCATACAGTATGTAGAGAACAGTAGCTCTTCACAGAGTCATTGAAGTAGTCAATGAAATAAAGAAATTATTCACTTTGTTTTTACTGGAAAGTAGCAGAAACAGAACAAAGCCAAGAATCATTCCTAATGGGGTTGATTACTTGCTAACTAACCAGTGAACCAACAGTAATAAATAAAAGAATATGCACTTAAAACAGATGAGGCAGAAAACAAAAGTAGAAACAAATTTTGAACACAAAATTTTCATCTCTATTTATGTATGTAACATACATATACACACACACACAGTGAATAGAAAGCTCTGATATAAGTTTAAAATATTGGGTGTTTTAGGACCAGGGGTAGCTAACATGGCAAAGGCCCTGTGTTGGAACCTCAGTATTAAGGAAAAATGTGTATGTATGATATCTTCCTAAACACATTTTACATACATTTTCCCAAAGAATTAAAAGCTATTTTTAATAGTATGGCGTGTACTCCTTGGGAATAAAAGCCACTAGCAAGAAAGAACCCTTTCTCCCTGGAGGAGTGGCCTAGAGGGTAGGGAGCAGATACACCACCAGAGAAGAAATCCAAAATGGACCCTGTGCGGACTCAGGGCAGTGAACACCATCAGTGCTGGGACCTGTGAGCACTGTTAGTGGAACAGGACCAGAGTGGGACTGGTTCAGACATACAAATGAGAAGGGCAAGAGGGTTGAACAGTGAGGGGCTTCAGGTTTCCTAGTAAATTGTGGGTACTAAAACTCATTATTCCAAATGCTCATAAACCAGATCTTAGTCCACATGTTAGGAGGGCACAGGTGCACTTTTCTAAATAACATTCTCATAATAATACAAGTGGAAGAATTTTTTTTTTGGTAAAGCTTATCATATGTATAGTCAAAGAGTATAAAGAAAGTTCAGTGACTGTGGAATAATTCCCTAATACCAAGTTGTTTGAATTATGAACTTTGTAAATGTTTATAATATGAATAATATTGTGAGCTTCCCTTTCGGCTAAATATGTTAGAAATAAATTCTAACAGTCTGTAAAAATCAATTACAAGAAAACCATTTTTGTTGTGTTTTCCCTTTTTGTTTTTTGCTGACTGAACTAGAATGTCTGAGGTAGGTTATTTTCTTATAATTAAATGGAAAATGCTTTAAAAGTAGAGTATTCACTTCTATATAGCTGTATGTACTTGGTCTCGTGTCTATCTTTTGTAGGATATTTTAATCAACTGTAGGCGTGCTGCCACATCTGTGGCTATTTGTCCCCCAGTACCGTATTACCTTGCTGTGGGTTGTTCTGATAGCTCAGTACGGATTTATGATCGACGGATGCTGGGCACAAGAGCTACAGGTGAGGAAACATTAGGCAAAATTTGAGACTGTTCAAAGAAATCTTGGTAATATTTTTACATTTACATTGTTTTAAAATTTCTTGTGTTATTTAAGTAATGTAGATTATTCTAAGAGGAAAACTATTTTACTAATTCTTAAATACTCTGTTGTTTGTAACTAGGCATAGTGTTGTGTGGCTGTAATCTCAGCACTCTAGCTGGAGACAGGAAGATTAGAAGTTCAGGGTCATTCCTATTTGAGGCCAGCATGTACTACATGAGACCTTGTCTCAGAAAGAAAACAAGAAAGACTATTGGGATGATACTTGCAGAGTTTATCAGTTTATAACAGGAGCTGGGGAGAGGGTTCAGTGGGTAAGAGAATTTACTGCTCTTACAGAGGACCTGAATTTGGTTCCCAGCACTCTAGTTAGGCCTAGCTCACAAGTGCAGCAGATGGTTCTTAACTGCCTGGAACTCCAACTCTAGGGATCTGATGTTTACTCTCTGATCGCCTTAGGCACCCACACCCAGGCACACATATACCCCCAACCTCATCATTAAGAATAAAATCAAATTGCGTATGGAGAGATGGTTCAGAGAGTAAAAGCACTTGTTGCTATTGCAGAGCCCTGGGTTTGGTTCCTGGCACCATATTGTGGGTTACAACTCCAGTTCTGGGGGAACTGAGTCCTTAGGGTACCAGGAAAGCATGTGGCATATACATGTCCCCACCTATATGCACTATACATATACACTCTCAAGCAAACACTATACACATAAAATCAATCTGAAAGGAGATTTATAACAATTTCTGTATTTCCCAAGGCTGCCATAATTAAGTTATCAGAGTGACTCTCTTAAAACAATAGAAATTTGTTTTCTTGCATTTCTAGAATTTAACTCTCTGAAATCAAGATGTCTTAGGATTAGATGGACTAGAGACTTAGGGAGAATCTGTTCTGGGCCTCTATTTTGCCTTATGATAATTGCTGCCAATTTTTGGCAATCTCACAAGAGCACTTCAGTTTATAAAACCAGTATTTCTTGAAAGTAATTAGGAGGCATATTGATAAAGGAAAATGGATTTATTTACATTTTGACCATACTGTGGAGAAAAGAGTTCCTACTTTCTCTGTGCCTTTTCTGTATCAGCATTATAATTTTATAAAAAGGCTGAAACAAAAGCCATGAAGTGTAGGGGTGTACAGTGTAGGCAGAACTATGTAAAATCTCTTTCAGGAAGTCATATTCTTCTCCAGCTGGTACCAGGGCTTTAGCCTTTCCTGCCTCCAGTGTGACAGTCCTAGGGAAATACTAATTCTCTGGGACCCGTTGTTTTAATGGTCTTAAAGCTACAGAGAGAAACACAAGAATCTCTTTAGACTATCTTCTTTGATGCTCATGCAGTTAAAAAATCATACTTAAATTCAGCACTGCAACAATATTCACAGCCTTCTAAGCAAAGCAGAGTCAATATATGCTGCATGTTATTATGCCCAAGTCCAACCAAAAAGATTATGCACGTATACATGTGCACTTACGCAATGATGAGTAATGCATGTATATTCACATTTGTTATTAAAAGTAAAGGTGGACTTGGGCAGAAACCACCCATGTCAGGAGTAGCCAACCTAGATATCAAATGAGAAGGAGTTCTAGATGAGAGCTTTTCCGTCTTGTTTTTAATACACTTTAATTCTGTGACAGTTTCACACATTTATATATTTTGATCATATTTATCCCTCCATTCTTTTGTTTTATCCTCTCACTCCCCTGAAATCCAACCTTCCCAACTTGTGCTTCCCACTTTCATGTCACTGTCCCTCAGTAGCCTGTTGAGTTCAATAGAATTACTCTGACAGCTTCCTAGTGGCTACATCTCTGAAAAAAAATTCCTCTCCTTCCCTATCCCCATTAACTTCCAGGATCCCTTCAGCCAGAGGTGAGGCTTCACGTGCCACTCTTCCATTTGTGCTAGACTCTCATGGCTGACCTTGTGCGGTAACCACAGCTATGTGAGTCCATGGGTGCAGGAGCAACGTCACATTCAAAACAGTGTTTCACACCATTCCTCCCCATCCTCAGGCCTTTACATTCTGAGAGATTTTCTCTTTGGGACTGTTATAAGGAGTCCTGTCAATTTGCTTATCACAATTTTGGTGAAACCATAAGATAATATCAAACTGTAGAGTTATTATTCTCAACAGAAGCAAGACAATCTATATTTTTATCAGGACAAGACTGGACCATGCTTTGGGATCCTAGAAGAATTTAGCTCTCCTGGGCCAGTTTAACCCTCTGCTATCACATTGAATTGTACTGAAGACTGCCAGAGTTATTAAAGTTGAGTTTATAAACGAGACATAGTAGTCACTGCCTGTAATCCCAGGATGAGAGACGGAGGCAGGAGAATCATGAGTTCAAAGCCAGTCTCCATTATACAGCGAAATCACAGGGTTTCACAATGCCAAGGACTAGAGATACAGCTTAGTGGTAGAGTATTGGCCTGACATGCACATATCCTATGTTGCATTCCTACCATCGAAATAAGTAAAATCAATTTAGGAATAAGAGGAGGGATATATGAGATGCAGCTGAAGAGTATATAGTAAAGAATGCCTCATAGTAAGCCAGTTGGATAAACATAAACAACATTCCTAAAACCTCACTAGACAACTTACCAATAAAAACAAAACCATTATGAGACATAAATGCAAGAGTGGAAGTTACACACAGAAAATATGACAAAAGAAGTGGGGGTGCTGGCACAGCTTTGCTGAGTTGAAAGGTGAAGTTCTTAGGTCCTTCAGGCATTAGTAGTTCTCTGTGGCACTGCTGTGTGCTCGTGAGGGGAGTGAGTGAGTGAGTGAGTGAGTGAGGGAAAGCCTTGGTCTCTGCAGCCTCCCTGTAAGTTTTTGGCCCTTGGGTTGCTGCAGAGTGAGGTTGTAAGTTCTTGAAAGTTCCTTGGGCCCCTGTGCTCCACTTTGACCTCAGGTGCTGCAGGTTGGGTGTATTGAGGAGCAGTTCTTGCCTTGGAGTTTCTGCTGCTTTCAGGGAATGCCTTTTAGATGGAGGTGGTGGGGACTCTACTGAAGCAATCCATGTTGAGAATCAATCTCATAGCCTCTGGGCTACTTAGCTTTCATCTCTCCAGCCCTCTAGGGTTCTTAAGAGAACACATTGTTCAAGATTTTAAGCACCAGTTCTGTTGAATGTACTGAGATTTCTTCCTACTCTAGTAATACTCTATATGATTGAATCAATAACCTGAGAATATCTAAATTAAAATAACTATTGCAACTGAGAAAATCCAAGTAATTGTTTCTGTTTATTGGTACAACGGCTCATGATATATGTACATATATCCCAGGATCTTTGTGGTGGTTAACAGCCATCTGTAATTCTAATTCTAGGGGATCCAGTGCTCTGTTCTGGCCTTCATGGGCAGTGTACACACATGGTTCATACATGTGGTTAAAATACCCATAAACATAAAAATAAATTTTTAAAAATCTCAAATTTTTATAAATGGTAAGAAAGGTCTCTGCCATAGAAAATGACTTTTTTATATTGCATGTAATTTTCATCTTTGGCCTAACTTTGTGTTGAGTTGTTTATACTGTACACTGAACCTATTAATAGTCTGAGCTTTATGTGAAAGCAAAGAAGTGATTTTAATATCCTGGCACCTATAAATTATCTTATTGAGTTTATTTTAAAGGGTTGTGGTAATACAAAAAATAGATAATGGTTTCTAATATAAGTGATTAAATAGGTAAGTAGCCAATAGACAATGAGAATTGTATTCAACCTATTCTGCTAAGTGTCAAGTTTGCTGTTATAGAAATGATTGTAATTTGAATGAGAAGTCTGAAGATGATTTAGTGCAGAAATCAGCTATTAATAATGATATTTCAGCAAATCATGTAATCTGGAATTTAGAATTATGATAAAGGAGGTTTTTTGTTTGTTTAAATATGCTCTCTGCATGAGTCAACTTGACACACCTGGAAGGTACGAATCTCAACTGGTAATTATCTCAGTCAGATTGGCCTATGAATATCTCTATATGACATTTTCTTATTTGCTAACTGATGTAGGCCTTTGTGGGCCTCGGCTGTGTAAGAAAGGTACCTGAGCAAGCCAGGGGGTAAAAGCCAGTAAGCAGCTTTCCTCCATGGTTCCTGTCTCTGCTCCTGTTTTGAGTTCCTGCTCTGATTTCCCTCAGTGATTGGGTTATGATTGAGAGTATAAGCCATATTAAACCTTTCCATTTTAAGTTGCTTTTGGTTTGTCATAGCAATAAAACTGGAACATGTGTTATCTTTATACCATTCTCTTTAGTTTGTTATAAATTCTTGACTGTTAAAAAGAAAACCTTGAAGATACAGAGAGTGGTAATTTGCATTGACATTGCTACATTACTACACATATCTCATAATTCAGTATAAAAATGTTTAATATGTATAACTATTAATTTTGAATAAATTCCTGTTCTTTAGGGAATTATGCAGGTCGAGGAACTACTGGAATGGTTGCTCGCTTCATCCCTTCTCATCTTAGTAATAAGTCATGCAGAGTGACATCGCTGTGTTACAGTGAAGATGGTCAAGAGATTCTTGTCAGTTATTCTTCAGATTACATCTATCTTTTTGACCCCAAAGATGATACGGCACGAGAACTTAAAACTCCTTCTGCAGAGGAGAGGAGAGAAGAGGTAAGTTTACCCAAAACTAGATTCTTTCTTCATGGTGAGAGGCCTGCAATTCCCAACAGGAGGCTGGATAGATGATCAGTTTAAAGTGGTCACTCTAAGTTTGAGGTCTTGAGCTACATATGATGCTGTGTCAAAAAAAAATATAGAAAGTTAAGTGTCCAAATAAGTAAATGCATTGATTTCCAAATAGTTTATGATTTAGGGAACATATAACAAAATAGGCTAATAAATAGGGCTGTAGGAATGAAATGAGCTAAGTTTAAAAAGAAGATATGTCACAGTGTCCCATACCCAAATGCTTCTGGGAGAGAGCTGGTCTTCCAGGGGTGTGGTCACACCTGTGAGCACAGGTAAGACCACCACCTCTGCTCAGAGGGACCTGCTTGGAACCCTCAGTACACAAGAACTAAGGAGCAGCCTGGGACAGGATCCTTCTGGTTTCTGTCTGTACTCTGGAGCTGACCCTGTGCCACAGCTCTGCATACCCAAATACCTCCTGGAAAGAACTGGTCTCCTGGGAGTATTGACGCACAGGCTAGGAGGGACAAGCCACAGTCAGAGTCAGCAAGACCAGCTAACACCAGAGAAAAGCAGATGGCAAGAAGCAAGGGCAAGAACAAAAGCAACAGAAACCAAGGCCACTCGACATCGTCAGAACCCAGTTTTCCCACCACAGCAAGCCTTGGATACCCCAACACACCCGAAAAGCAAGACTCTGATTTAAAATCACATCTCATGATGATGATAGAGGACTTTAAGAAAGACATAAATAACTCCCTTAAAGAAATATAGGAGAACACAGGTAAACTGGTAGAAGCCCTTAAAGAGGAAACACAAAAATCCCTTAAAGAATTACAGGAAAACACAACCAAACAGGTGAAGGAATTGAACAAAACCATCCAGGACATAAAAATGGAAGTAGAAACAATAAAGAAATCACAAAGAGAGACTACCCTAGAGATAGAAAACCTAGGAAAGAAATCAGGAGTCATAGATGCAAGCATCACCAACAGAATACAAGAGATAGAAGAAAGAATCTCAGGTTCAGAAGATACCAGAGAAAACATTGACACAACAGTCAAAGAAAATACAAAATGCAAAAAGCTTCTAACCCAAGACATCCAGAAAATCCAGGACAAAATAAGAAAACAAAACCAAAGGATAATGGATAGAGAAGAAAGTGAAGATTTCCAACTTAAAGGACCAGTAAATTTCTTCAACAAAATTATAGAAGAAAACTTCCCCAACCTTAAGAAAGAGATGTCCATAAACATACAAGAAGCCTACAGAACACCAAATAGACTAGATCAGGGAAGAAATTCCTCCCATCACATAATAGTCAAAACACCAAATGCATAAAACAAAGAATATTAAAAGAAGTAAGGGAAAAAGGTCAAGTAACATATAAAGGCAGACCTATCAGAATTACACCAGACTTCTCACCAGAGACTATGAAAGCTAGAAGATTCTGGGCAGTTGTTATACAGACCACAGGGAATACAAACACCAGCCCAGGCTACTATACCCAGCAAAGCTCAATTATGATAGATGGAGAAACCAAGATATTCTGTGACAAAAACAAATTTACACAATATCTTTCCACAAATCAGCATTTCAAAGGATAATAGATGGAAAAAGCCAACACAAGGAGGGAAACTACAACCTAAAAAAAGCAAGAAAGTAATCTTCTTCTAACAAACCCAAAAGAAGATAGCCACACAAACGTAAAAACAACATCAAAAATTAACAGGAAGCAACAGTCACTATTCCTTAATATCTCTTAACATCAATGGACTCAATTCCCCAATAAAAAGACATAGGCTAACAGACTGGATATGTAAACAAGACCCAGCATTTTGCTGCATATAGGAAATGCACCTCAGTGTCAAAGACAGACACTACCTCAGAGTAAAGGGCTGGAAAACAATTTTCCAAGCAAATGGTCCCAAGAAACAAGCTGGAGTTGCCATTCTAATGTTGGATAAAATCGACTTTCAACCAAAAGTTATCAAAAAGGGTAAGGAAGGACACTTCATACTCATCCAAGGAAAAATCAACCAAGATGAACTCTCAATTCTGAACATCTATGCTCCAAAGGTAAGGGCACCCACATACATGAAAGAAACTTTACTAAAGCTCAAAACACACATTGTACCTCATACAATAAGAGTGGGGGATTTCAACACCCCACTGTCAGCAATGGACAGATCATGGAAACAGAAACTAAACTGAGACACTTTGAAATTAACAGAAGTTATGAACCAAATGGACTTAACAGATATCTATAGAACATTTCATCCTAAAACAAAAGAATATACCTTCTTCTCAGCACCTCATGCCATCTTCTCCAAAATTGACCATATAATCGGTCACAAAACAGGACTTAAGAGATACAAGAAGGTTGAAATAATCCCATGCATCCTATCAGATCACCATGGAATAAGGCTGGTCTTTAATAGCAACAAAAACAACAGAAAGCCCACATACACATAGAAGCTGAATAACGCCCTACTCAATGATAACTTTGTCAAGGAAGAAATAAAGAAATTAAAGACTTTTTAGAATTTAATGAAAATGAAGGCACAACATACCCAAACTTATGGGGCACAATGAAAACAGTGCTAAGAGGAAAACTCAGCTCTGAGTGCCTCTAAAAAGAAACTGGAGAGAGCATTCACTACCAGCTTAACAGCACACCTGGAAGCTCTAGAACAAAAAGAAGCAAATATACCCAAGAAGAATAGAAGGCAGGAAATAATCAAACTCAGGGCTGAAATTAACCAAGTAGAAACAAAAAGAACTACACAAAGAATCAACAAAACCAGGAGCTGGCTTTTTGAGAAAATCAACAAGATAATTAAACTCTTGCCAGACTAACCAGAGGCTACAGAGATATTATCCAAATTAACAAAAATCAGAACTGAAAAGAGAGACATAATAACAGAAACTGAGGAAATTAAAAAAATCATCAGATCCTACGACAAAAGCCTATACTAAACAAAACTGGAAAATCTGGATAAAATGGACAATTTTCTAGATAGATACCAGGTACCAAAATTAAGTCAGGAGCAGATAAACCATCTAAATAGTCCCATAACCCCTAAAGAAATAGCAGCAGTCATTAACAGTCTCCCAACCAAAAAAAGCCCAGGACCAGGTGGGTTTAATGTAGAATTCTATCAGACCTTCCAAGAAGACCTAATACCAATTCTCTTCAAACTATTCCACAAAATAGAAACAGAAGGAACACTACCCAATTCATTCTATAAAGCCATAAATAGTTATGGTGTGTATTCTCCTTTGGAGATGAAACAGTTTCTGTCTGATCAGGAATTTGTCACAATTTCTTTTCATAGAGGACTTCATAAAAGATTTCTTTTCTACTTCTATCGTGTTTAATGTTCCAAATAGATTATAAAAACTGTTTGAGTGCATATTACTTTTAGCCTCAGAAGATATGTATATTTAAGAGGCATTTAACCATTATAAATTATTTTGTTGACTTAAAAAAATGTCAATACTGAGTTGTATATTTTAAAATAAATTTTATTAGTTTAATAAAAAATAAAGAAATTAAAAAAGAATAGAAAGAAGATATGTAATAGAAAACTGTTAACTTTATAGATGATTGGAAAACGAGTCAGTTAAGACATTAGAAAATGTGATGATAAATGTCTAAAAGATTCAGTGTGCTGATAGACCAAGTGCCACCCCTTACAGTTGAGTGTTCATAGACAGGCACCAGCTCCATCCTCTCCCGCTTGTATCTCTTTTTTCACACATTAGTAGCACCTGACAATAGCCATAGGTACATTCTATAAAATATATATGAGAAAGTAGGGGAAAGTTTAATAAGGTATTTATATAAAAGAACTGAATTACTGTGACCAACATATAAAGCAGGAAGGTAGAAATAGTGCGTTTGACACAGTATACAGCCATGGGAGCATGTTTGGTTTAGCTTGTTACCATTTTCCTAACATGCCAGCTATGCTGACCTTTAAAAATGTTTATAGATATAGTTTTAATTAAAAAAATTATTGTATATGTATAGTTGTTTTGCTTGTATGTCTGTCTATCTGTACATCACGTGCATGCTTATTGTATGCCAGAGGCCAGACAAGCATGTCTTATCCTCTGCTGGCCTCAAACTCAGAGATCTGCCTGCCTCTGCCTCCTAAGTACTTGGATTAAAGGCATGTGCCACCACTGCCTAGCAGATTAATTATTAATTAATACTGGTTTGGTATTAGCTAAATGTCTGCTAATGGGCTTATGTTTGATTTGTGGTTCTGGGGATTCAACCCGGGGCCTCACATGATAGGCAAACACTGAGCTATATTCTCAACATTTTGCACATTTAATGGAAGTACAGTAGCAAATGTGTAATTCTCATGAGATGTAAACTAAATTCAGTTGTGTATAAACTGATAGTGGTGTATAAACTACCACTCTTAGATAACGTTGAGGAGAAGGTTTTTATTATAGATATGAGGGAGGAGAGTTCAGCCAGAGGCATCTGGAAAAAATCCTGAGCAGATTGATAAAGAGGTAGACTCAGTGTGGCCAGCAGATTGTATCTGGCTGTGAAAGGAGAGAGAGAGTAGGGAAAGTGAGAGGTGAAGACTAAGAGGAAGACAAAAGGGAGGGAGTTTAGTCAATGTAGCTGGGTTATAAGGAGATGTGAGAAGCTGGAGGGGAGGGAAGCCCATGAGCTAGAGAAATTTAGAGTAAGGGGTGAGTGAGAAAAGCCAATACCAGCATGGGCTTTTGAAATGTATAACAAGTACTTGTGATACTAAGGGAGCCTGGAGGCTCTGGTATGCTAATAGGCACCACTGATAGCCATGTGCCCCCTCAGCCAGTGATAAGGAAATGGTTCCTTTGGTAGAGAGGAACAGGTTTCACAAGTTGCTGATGAATGCTGGCTTTTGTTTAACCTCCAGGATTTGAACTTGACAGTTATTATAAAATTAGAAAAAAAATATCATTTTGTAGATGAGTTTTAGGATATTTAATGTGACAGTACATTTATGTAAAGTAGGGAAATTATAAGCTATTTATGAGCTTTTTGGACTGGCTGAAAAGGAATTGTGCTGTGTCATTTTGTTGCTGCTATATAACTTCCTTTTGAGACATGTAGGTAAGTAAGGTTGCAGTCAAACTCTGTGACTGAGAGATAATGAAAATTTGGAAGTGCACAGACGGTTTAAGTGGGCCAGCCAACTTATCATAGACTCCTTAGCCAAAGATGATTATGTCATCAGAGAAGTGCTGAAGCATTTTCCTGGAGATGTTTTTCTTAGTATGATTTGTTGAATTAACCAAATTAAAAACAATAATTTTAAAAACTGAATTATAAAAATAAATCATACTTATATTTGACCAAATAAGAGTTATGTATGTGTATGAAATTAAGGAGCTATCTTCTTTTTTTTAATTAAAATTGTTTGTTTATTTATTTATGTATACAAATATACCATTGCTGTCTTCAGACACAGCAGAGGAGGGCATCACATCCCATTACAGATGGTTGTGAGCCACCATGTGGTTGCTGGGAATTGAACTCAGGACCTCTTGAAGAGCAGTCAGTGCTCTTAGCCACTGAGCCATCTCTCCAGCCCAGGAGCTATCTTCTTAATTTCCATAATTTTTTATTTGGTAGTTTATGATAAAATTTTGACTAATAATTGAGATCAGCTATTCTTAATCCAGAAATTATTTGTTAGGTACATACTGTACACTTAGTTCTGTATTAAACTTGAGAAAATGAAGATATAAAGACACAGCTCATTCATTTAAGCCAGCAAGCTCCAGCATCGAGCCTCCTGTCTTTGACTCCCTTCCCCCAGTGCTGGGGTTACAGGTGTGCCTTACTAGACCCAACTTTTTACATCAATTTTAAGGATTTGAACTCAGGTCCTCATGCTTATACAGCAAACACTAAGATATATCTCTAGTCACAATCAACTTCTAAAAGTATATAAAAAAGTATTGTATATATCCACAAAGTAATGCAGCAGTTGTCACTGTTGATACTCTACCATATTAATCAGTGAAAGCATGCTAAGTATTGTGTTATTCCATTGATATGAAATAATATTCAGAATATACACATCTTTAGAGAGAGCAAGTAGATTAATGGTTTCTGTCCCTTTGAGAAGGGACAGGTGAAGAATGTCTGCTGATGGGAATGGGATTTCTTTTGGAGATGATTAAAGGATTCTTGAAGCAGATGATGGTAACCGTTGATGCTAATCCCTGAAAGGTGCCACTTGACTTGGAAGTTAATTATTGAGCTTAATATTTACCTCTAACTTGTAACATGTTTGTTTGTGTGTGTGTGTGTATGAGTGTATGTCTGTGTGTGTATGTATGTATGTATCTATGTATGTGTGTATGTATGCATCTGTATACATTCCATGGCACACGTGTAGAGATCAGAGGACAACTTTTAAGAGTTGATTCTTTCTGTCATGTTGATTCCTAGAATGCATGTCATTAGATTTGGCAGCAAGAATATTTATTTACCTATAGCCTGTCTGTCTCACTGGCCTCCACTAATGACCATTTACCATGATCCATGAATTTAGCAAGTGTTTATTCATTGTTGTACAAATTAGTTTTTGTCAACTTGACACAAACCTAGATATCCATGGGAAGAGAGAAGCTGTTACAGAATTGCCTCCATTCATTTGTCTTGTGGGCATGTCTGGAGGCATTTTCTTGATTAATGACTTATGCAGGAAGACCCAACCCATTGTGGGCACTGCCACTCTTGGGCAGGTACTCCTGGGTTGTATAAGAAAGCAGGCTGGACCATGGAGACCAAAGCAGAAAGCCACATTCCTCCATTCACTCTCTTTAAGATCCTGACTTCCCTTCATGATAGACTATGAGCTGTAAGGTGAAATAAACCCTTTCCTCTCCAAGTTGCTTTTTGGCCATGTTTATCACATCAGTAGAAAGCAAACTAGAACACGTGGTGACCTTGACAGTGTAAACATAGACAAACCAGTTGCAATAGAAACACTGAGTAGCTTGGATTGAGAGCAATGATTGAGTAAATGGAAATCTCTTCATGCCTCAGAATGAAGTGAAAGAAATATGTGAGCGCTCAGGAAACAGGTTTTCTTTGCATCAGTATAAGAACTTTTAGCATGTTGTGAGAAGAAATCAATGTAAGAACAGAAGAGTGATTATTGACTCAAGGTGTTTGAAGGTTAAAGAAAGGCAGTAGAAAACATAGAGGGAGCACTTGGGCTTAAAGAGCATGACTGACAGACTCAGAATGAATAGGACTTAGGAAGTTGCAAGGAGAAGTAAATTCATAGAATTCGGGCGAGAAAATTCCTGTCATTTCTACAGGCCTTTATTTCATGTTTTTTTAAAGCCATACTTTCTACATTGTAGAACAAATTTGGGGGAAAATCACTCTTTCCAGTGGGTCAGTAAGACTAGTCATGTCTATTTGTTATTGTTTAATGGTGAACAGGATTAAAAAGAAAACTGTTTTCACAGTCACTGCCAAATGATGACACATGTTGGATGATTTAGGGATATAAAAATGGTTCTTATCCAATACATGGGAAGTTGAATTCATGTTATTACAATAATTAGAAAGTAATTAGGTTCATATCTGCTTGCATCACGTTGCTAATCCATCCTTTTGCTTACACTCGACCTTTGTTACTTAATATAACCCTGTCTTGGTCTCCTTTCTAAATTTTTGAACTTTAGCAACATCTCCATGTGTGTGTACAAATTTACAAATATACACACATCTGTATTGTAGGCTAGGTTCACGTATGAGGCATAACTGCAGGTTTTTCTTAGTTTGTGTTCCTTGCTTGATCTTATACTTTCCTGGCCTACCTTTTCCTTTCAGATGCCATGATTTCATTTTTCTTTACAGATGAACTGTATTTCATCGTGTCTCTGTACCACATGTGCATTATCTGTTCATTTGAGTAGAGCAGCAGCAACCATGGGTGTGCAAGCCATCTCTGTGGAAGGCCATGAAGACCTCACCCACTCGCATACACACACACACACACACACACACACACCTAGGAATTGTATAGTTGGATCATATGGTAGTTCTGTCTTTTTTAAGTAGGAGAAAAAGTTACTTGCTAAGAACAATGGCAGACTATGGAGAAAGTTTGAAGCAAGTGATGAACGGGTGGGTAGATACTGGGGAAACCTAGAGAAGTAAGTGTTCCAGAAAGGTAAAAAGTATCGTGTCATAGTTAGGTCTGTTACCATTCTGGTGTGGTAGGTCAAGGTGATTGACTGTCCTGTGTCGGCTGGGCAGTGATAGAAGTCATTGTATGTGGTTCATTTCTTCTTCCTTCTCTTCTCTCTCCCTGTTCACACCCCTTTCTCCCTTCCTGGGGATTAAACTGAACCCAGTGCTCTACCACAGAACTGTATCTCATCTGGACAACCCCCAACCCCCTCCACTTCCTCTTCCTCTTTTTCTATTTAATTTTGAGACAAGGTGTCAGTAAGTTGCTTAGACTGTTGTTATTCATAGTTTAAATAGGTCTTGAATTTATGATCTTCCTGCCTCACCTGGGACTGCAGACTGGCACTAGTAAACCCAGCTTACATGCACACAATTTCAGAGTTGTATTTGTGCTCTTCAGGTTGACAGTATTAAGTATGGACTGTAACACCAGTGGGTGTTTGTCATCACAGGCACTATGGAAGATTGATAAAGCATTAAGCAATGTTTCATGTATTGATCTAGTATCTCATTTCCATACTTAAAGACAATTTGGGGATGCAAATGCTCCATTAAAGTATGTTGTAAAAACTGAGGACTAGAGATGAATTTAGTGGTACAGTATTTACCTTGGATGCACAAGAACCTGGATTCAGTCCCCATCACCAGAATAAAAGCTGAGAGCAAACCCATTCTTGAGACTCACATAGCATCTGCTTATGATTAATTACCTTTCAGTTACGACAGCCTCCAGTTAAGCGCTTGAGACTTCGTGGTGATTGGTCAGATACTGGTCCCAGGGCACGGCCGGAGAGTGAACGAGAACGAGATGGTAACTATACTTTGGCCAGCTTTTTGTGACATGTGGTATATCTTGTCTGTATAAGTGTTTTTGCCTGTATACTGTGCTGTGCCTTGTGCTGTGGTAGAGGTCAGAAGGGAGACATCAGATCCACTGGTATGGTTGTGAGCCACCTTGTGGATGCTGGGATCTGAACCTGTGTCCTTTTGAAGAGCAAGAAGTGCTCTTATCCTCTGAGTCATCATCTCTTTACCCCTTATTTCCATTATTTTCAACTGTAAATGATGCTACAATGAAATCTTAAGACTATTTTGGTAAATATGTGCAAGTACATCATAGGATAAATTTCTAGAAGTGGAATGGCTGAGTCACTGGATATGTATTTTTAACTTTTATAAACATATATACATACACACAAGCATGTCTACACACACACACACACACATATATATATAAAACTTTAAAACAATTTAACTGAATATATTTTATTTAACAAATCTATAGAAAAAATTATGTTCTAATTATTACTAACCCTTTTATAATCAAAACAGTATTCCTAAGTATATTATCCTTGGTTCTGTTTTATAATATTCTTAAATATAAAGTTATATATGTAAAGGTGGCTTCCATGCCTGTAATCCCAGGCCTTTGAAGGTTGAGGCAGATGGATTATTATAAATTCAAGAACTACATAGTAAATTCCAGACCCACCTGGACTATAGAAGGAAGAGACTCTGTCTTTCAAAAACAAACCAAGTGAAAGAACTATATAATTTTATAATTATTACATTTTTTTAATCTAATCTTTGTTTGTTTTGAACCTGTGTCTTGTTCTGTATCCCCGATGGCTCTCATACTTACTTTCCATGTAGTCACACTTGCCTCCGTGACACAATTTCTTGTGACACCAATCATAACTCCCAAGTCTTCCTGCTTCAGCCACATGAGTGTTGAGTTTTCATATTTCCATTTTAAAATGCCCTTGGTATTCCCAGCACTGTAAGAACATAAAATATTCTTAATATTTCCCAAGGTGTAACAAAATAAAATACCTTTAAAGAGGAAAAGCAAACAAATACATTTATTTGAACAAAGAAAAGGTGTAACATTGAAAAGACAAAATACATTTTCTGTCAGCCAGTTGCAAATATCTGTGGCCATGAATGGACTTAATCTCATTAAATACCTGGGACTTCACAGTAACTAATAAGATCTGTTTTTGGGGAATTGAGGTAAAGACCCAAGGTTATGTCTGTGCTTGATAATGTAGTGAGGAAGCACTATTTATTCCACTTGGAGTTCATAAGCCCTTCCTAGAGTACATTTAATAATTGTAGATAGACAAGTGATGGAGCAGGGTGGGAGATAGAACGCTAGCTAAGAACAGGCGTAGCTGGAGTGGAGCAATCATGCTCTTGAAGATCTTAACTGTACACATACATGGGTAGTCACTCATAATTCTTATAAAATGTGATGGGCACTCCGATGACTTTATCTGTTCATGTAAAATTACTTAGACAATTTAATTTTTAATTTCTAGAATTTTAAAGCCCTTCAGATCTAGGTTTTTGTATTATTTAAAGATCCTGTCTTTTTGCTAAACTTACTGATAAAATTTATGTTGTAATAGGAGAGCAAAGTCCCAACGTGTCATTGATGCAGAGAATGTCTGATATGTTATCAAGGTGGTTTGAAGAAGCAAGTGAAGTTGCACAAAGCAACAGAGGAAGAGGAAGACCTCGGCCCAGAGGTAATTTGTCTTACTGGTTAAATCACTAGAGAGCTAGCAAAACTGCTTATGGGAGATAGCATTTTGTTTTTGGATTTTGTTTGTGTGGTTGTCTGTGTGGGTGTTATTTTATTTTATTTTATTTTATTTTATTTTATTTTATTTTATTTTATTTTATTTTATTTTATTTTATTTGCATTTTGAGACAGGGTTTCTCTGTGTCTTGGCTGTCCTAGAACATGCACTATAGGCCAGGCTGGCCTTGAACTCAGAGATCTTCTGCCTTTGCCTCCTGAGTCCTGGGATTAAAGTAATACATCACTATACCCAGCTGGTAGGTAGTTTTTGTTAATATTATCTAACTGATAACTGAATTGTATTTTGTAGCCAATGTAGTCATAACTCTCTTCTGATCCACTAGACCCAGCTATTTAACTTATTTCAAAACACATGAAACAAAAGATTGCTAATTTTAAGTCCCTTTCCAATACACTTTGAAAATTTGAAGTTTGCAAAACTGTAAAGATAAGTGTATGTATATAATTAGAAAAAGTAATTATTTAAAAAAATTTAAATTTATTTGATGTGTGTATATGTGTGAGTGTGCATGTGGAGGTAAGAAAAAAACTTGGAGAAGTCAGTTTTCAAACTCAGTCCATCTTGTCAGCAAGTTTCCTTACCTCTTAACCGTCATTCTGACCCAAGATTGATTATTTTAACAAGAATGTGTCATTGATTCTTATCCCTGTTGATTAGACTGTTTGATTAAGTGGACCAAACCACCAGTGGCTATAATTGATATGCTGAGTGTGTTAGTTAGGGCTTCTGTTGCTGTGATAACCAGAAAGCAGTCTGGGGAGGAAAGGGTTTATTTGGCTTACTACTTCAGTATCACCGTTCATCCTTGAAAGAAGGCAGGACAAGAACACAAACAGAGCAGGAAGCTAGAGTCAGAAGCTGATGCAAAGGCTACACTGGAGTGCTGCTTACTAGCTTGCCCTTCTTAGCTTTCTCAGCCTGCTTTCTTATAGAACCCAGGACCACTGGCCCAGGGATGACACCACCCACAATGGGCTGGACCCTCTCCATCAATCCCTAACAAAGAAAAGCCTTACAGCCAGCTCTTATGGAGCTGGCTCAATTGAAGTTCTCAATTGAAGTTCCTTCTTTTTTTAATCAGACGACTCTTGCCTGTGTCAAGTTGATGTAAGGCTAACTAGAATTCTGAAATTATATTGGTGTGTGTTTTCAGAATATTTCTGTAGAGGTTTGTTTTGTGTTTAGTTTTTGCATTTGAAATTTGAGTTTGAGGCTAGAGAGATGGTTCAAGAGTAATTAAGAGATGGCTAAGAGCACTCACTGCTCTTGAAGGTGAGCTCAGTTCCCAGAATCCACATGGCTGTTCCCAGCTGTCAGTAACTCCAGTTCTGGAGATCCTGCATCCTCTTCTGCCCTCTGCAGGCATGTATGGTCATGTCACCAAAACACCCATACATCTAATTTAACAATGAATAGATCTTTTAGAAACTTGGGTTTGCTTAACATGTGCTTCTTTGAAGGTGGAACAAATCAGCCAGATGTTTCAACTCTTCCTACGGTTCCATCAAGTCCTAATTTGGAAGTGGGGGAAACTGCAATGGACGTGGATATGCCAGCTGCACTTCTTCAGCCTTCTACATCCTCTACAGTCTCAGTTCAGGCTCAGGCGGCCGCAGCCGCCATAGAAAGCCCTCATTCCACCTCTTTGCTGTCTTCTCCAGACAGTGAGCCAAGGCAGTCTGTTGAGGCATCTGGACACCATACACATCATCAATCTGGTAAGGATGTTATTCTTCAAGTAGGTTGTTTATATGGTGATCTCTGACAAGGAACACCTTGTAGTCTGTTTTGTAAGATTCTAAATTACAGTAACTTCTTGCTGGAATAAATAGTCAAAATTATTTTTTATATACAAGCATAACTTAAACATAAAATTCAAGTGTGTCTAATTTGCATGAATTTTTACAGATAATGAATCTTTAATTTACATGAGGTAATTTTATTTAAGGTAATAGTAGGTAGTATTTTGACATAGTTTAATACACTGAAAGATTATTTTATAAACCATTATTAACCAAAATACTGTTCTAAATTTGCTAGATTCTATGTCTATATTAAAATTACAGGAAAATATATTTCATTGTTATTATTTTCACTGCATTTATATTTTCAATTTTTCTTCAGATTATTAAATACTTTGAATATATTCACAGTAGTGAATCTGCAAGTGGTCCTTTTTCAAAAACATAGTATGCTTTGCCAGGAGAATTATTTTCCTGTTTTTTGTTTTGTTTTGTTTTGTTTTGTTTTTTTCAAGACAGGGTTTCTCTGTGTAGCCCTGGCTGTTCTGGAACTCACTCTGTAGACCAGGCTGGCCTCAAACTCAGAAATCCACCTGCCTCTGCCTCCCAAGTGCTGGGATTAAAGGCGTGCGCCACCACCGCCTGACCAAGAATTATTTTCCTTCTATATATATGAAAAATAATTATCTTACAAATTCTTTGTCTTTATGGTCCTTGGTGTTAGTAAAAAATATCATCAATTCATAAATTCTGTTATCACATTTTTCTTTCAGTACAGTAACTTCTCATGTTTTTCCCACCCCAACTGTAGAATATACTATTTACAATAATTTCAGTAAATATATAGTCTACTTGAAATTCTAACTGTATACTTATAAATATAGTAAAAATAGTTATTTGTTTATTATTTTTAAGTTCTTTTAAGGAGGCATTTTACTTAATACAGAACAAAAATATTAGTAAGGGATGTAGTTAGTAATAATGCTGGTCCCGAAAGTAAGACCTCTGGCAGTGTCCTAACAGCTTCCTCTCCAGGTTATCGCTGATGCCAGATCCCAGATAATGGGGTATTGAAATTAAGTACTGTTTTATCATTATCTTTCATTTTTAATAATTAATACTCACTTTCTATGGGAATAGAAGTCAGGGTTAGCTGCATAACTGTTAACACTATGTACAGTTTATCAAAACAGTAAGCTAAAGCCGAATTAGCAAGCCAGCTTTTTCACATTTCACATGGTATTTCAGCTTGAGGGAAAATAAAATACTCTGAATGGTTTGAGAAACAGGGTCAAAGGAGTTAGTTGGAAGTAGACCAAAACAAGTGAAATTAGTAAAGATAAGAAAAACTTTAAAATGCTTATTTTTATTTTAAGTGTCTGTTTTGCTTGCACGTATGCATTTGCACTGTTGTGCCCAAGGAGTCCAGAAGGAGGGTGTCAGCCTCCTTATACCTGGAGTTATGCCAGTTTCGAGCCCCCATGCAGGTGCTAGGAACTGAATCCAGATCCTCTGTAAAGAGTGAGTGCTCCTGACTTCTGAGCCATTGCTGAAGCCTCTAGATAAGGATTTTTAAAGTGCTAGTGTCATTGCAAATATTCTGAAAGACTGTAACCAATTATACGGGATTGGGAAAAATTAGCTAAAAAGACTCTGTCGCCTAGTTTTAAGTTCTACTGAGTCTTATCTAGTCCCAGTTGTTTCTTAGATACATTTGTGAGTTAAATATTTTTTGGAGCCTTTAAGAAATGTTTTTCTTAGCTATTTTTATACCACAGTTTAAGCTGCTGAACTCCTTTTAGTGTCTGATATACTAAGTACTGGAGACTACTTTTGTGATGGCCTAATGATCATTGTTTGAATATTATTTGATGCCTTTGTCCATAAACATTTTAAAGAAAGAAAATCTTTTTTAATTAGTAGATTGAGAATTTTATTTAACTTTTATAAGCTATGATAAAATACTTTCCTGTGTCTAAAATTGCCCCACTTCTGAGGAGAATGATTTGGTGTGAGGTATAGATCACACTTATAGTTGTTTCTCTGCAATAGCCCTTTCATATCCTACAGTCTAACATTTCATCTGGAAGTACATAATGTTGTTGTTTTCTTTTTCTGAGCCTTTTCACTTACCAAAGCCTATCCGAATCCTGATGGCTTAATAGACACTGGGAATTGTCCGTTGTAAGAGTGTGGTAGGTGGGAGTGTCACCTAGAGCTGTGATGTCTGTTACACCTTGTGTAAAACTAGGCATGTGGAAATGACTGTTCTCTTTACTCATCTTGCTCTGGATGCCTCTTTATGTATGCGTTTACATCTTTTGTTTGTCATTTGAAGTAGTTGACAGCAGACAGTGAAAGTGAAAACTTGCTGCAATGCTTCAGGATCCGTAGTCTACACCTGAATCTTCTGGTGGTGATGATGAATGTCACTCCATGAATTTCAGTGAGCACTGTTAGAGCAGTCTTTCTCTCAGTGCCTTTGCATGTTTATTTTACCCCTTTATAGCTTTTAAAGTACTCTGACCTTCTCCCCTTTGCCCTTCTCCCCTCCATAAGCTGTAAGTTTCATCACAGTGAAGAATGAAAGAACTTATTTTCTTAACCATTTCAGCCTCCTAATGCCCACATGTAGGTTGCCTGGAAGGAATGTAACCTGTCCTCTCACACTTGGCTGGGACAGCTGAAGCATACCTTTCCAGCTTTCCAGGGACTAGACTCCTCTTCCCATGCCTTCCCAGATTTACTTTTTTTCCTGTGTCACCTTTTCTGCTGAATTTTTCCTTCTAGCCACAAACATTGTTATCTGTTTTCTCGACCTTTCTCGAGAAAGCCACAAACATTGTTATCTGTTTTCTCGAAGCCTTTCTCGACCATCCTACATTCCTCCAAATAAGGCAGCTCTGCTTCTTCACTTCATTTCTCTGCCACCCCGTTTTCATGCCTTCCTCATGTATTCATGGACCAGCTTAAAGTTGCTTTTGGCCTCCTTTTCCTGTAGAAATTTTGGCAGTCACCAGTGAGCTGCATCGTGCTAGTCATGAGAATGTTTCTGTCAGTGCCTTCGTAGAACTTTGATTCAGTTGCATGTAACAGTCTTTCCCTTCTTTTCCTCCTTGGCATTTACGCCACACTTACTTATTATCCAGCATGGCCCAGCTTCTGAGAACCATCGCTAGGTTTTCTTTTTCTGTCTGCTTTGATTGAGTATTGTGGTTGAACCTCTCAGGATGACTCTCTTGTCTTTGCTACATAAACTTTATCCATCTGTGATTTGCCTCTAATGTATGACTTCCAATGGTGTGTTTTAAGTCTTGTCTTACAGCCCTAAGTTTCAGATTATTTTGTCTAATTATTACTTGGGACTCTATTTTGGTTGTTTTCAGTGATTTTAAATTTAATAATATGTCCAGAATAAAAGTATTGCAGCCTTCTGTCCTTCCCATCCCCTCAATGGTCCACCTGAGTCCTTTTCTTTTAAACTTTTCCAAAAAATTAATTACGTTTGTACTATGTGTGTGCATACACATGCACATGTGTGCATGCGCATGCGTTTGTGTGTGTGCAGGTCAGAAGACAACTCTCAGGAGTCTATTCTCTCCTTCCACTACAAACATCTCAGAGACTGTTAATCTTAGTGGAAAATGCTCTTACATGCTGAGCCATCTCACCAGTCCTTACCAGTCCTTTTATGCTTTAATTTTAATTCGCTTTTTTTAATAGCTCATGAGTAATTTTGAATTCTTCGATTTCTTTGTATCCTACTCATCATCAGCAGGTCTTATTGCCACTGTATCTGAACTGTACTCCTCCTCTTCCCATCAGAGCCATTCCTTACTTCTCAGTTGTTATCTTTGCATCTGCTCGTGTTCCTTTATACTTCAGTCTTCATAAAGAGGCCAGAACAAGCATTTAAAGTCTTTAACAAACTTCTACAACTTGGCTGTTTATACCACTCTTTAAAAAATAATTATATTTAGAAATGGAGCCACAAAAGAAAACACTTCCTTGTCCTTACTATAGACCTGAGTACCTGCACGGCCTGGAGATTGCAGTTCTAGGTTTTTTCACTCTGTCCTTTTATCCCCAGATTGTCATCATGTTCTAGGTGTGCTGACTTTCTCTTAGTTCCTTTACTGTGTAAAAGCTTTCTTTGCTTTTAAATCTTATGTTCTTGCTGTCTTTTTATTAGGAAGATAGGAAGATGTTCTTTAGCTGAAGTATTTCCTGAGGGTGGTCCCATAACTATTTTGGAGCCCTCTTTTTTTTCCATTTTCCCTAAAAAGTTACATTTAAAAAAAAAAAAACTTGTTTATTTCACAAAAGTACCTATTAAGCTTTATGTTTTTTTTTTCATTTTTATTAATTTATTTGTTACTTATTTTTACTAGCCTATGCTCTCACTAAGATAGGGCATTCTTTTTGTTTGTTTGTTTGTTTTTGTTTTGTTTTTTGAGACAGGGTTTCTCTGTGTAGCCCTGGCTGTCCTGGAACTCACTCTGTAGACCAGGCTGGCCTCGAACTGCTGGGATTAAAGGTGTGTGCCACCACTGCCCGGCTCATTGCCTCTTGAGTCTGTAATAAGTATGTCTTTTTTTTCCCTCCACCAATAGTCTCTAAAGCTGTAGCATGCATATTAAGAAACATCAAGTTGTTTTTAAGGTGGTATATATTTATATTTTAGTCTTTAGAATTTTAGCCCCATTTCATCATCTGTTTTGTTTGGAAGGAGATTCTTAAGCTTTGAATTGAATCCTCCTATCTGAGCATCTGGAGCTCTGGGATCACCTGCGCAGCACACTATACCTGGCCATTAACATATGGCCATTACCATATGTTTGGTAAGCTACTCTCTTTGGGGGGGGAGTATCTTGAGATAGCATCTCATACCTGGGCTAGCTTTGAACTCTGGATTCTCCTGCCTTTGCTCCCAAGTGCTGAAATGATAGCCATGCACCACTACCCAACAAGCTCTA